GCGAAATAGCACCTTTCACGCCCAGTAGTAGCACGCGACACGCACTCCCACAGCTGCAGCTCGAGAGGCGCAACTTGTCAGCACGCTAAGCGCAGTCCCGCAGCTCCGCAAAATTGTAAGTTGTAGGCCAGTGGAGCGCGTCTCGAAAATCGTACCCTTTAGTCCAGGTACAAATGGCAAACAGTGTGCAAAGTGCGCCCGCTGCAAAAATCAAGCGCAGCGCCGAAAAGCGCCCCCGCAGCTCCGGCTGAAATTTCCAAGTTTTGCGCATTCGCAGCCCCAGCTCGAAAATCACAACTTGTAGGCGCGCAAGTGATGTTCCGAAAATGTACTCTCGCATCTCTGACTCCGCTGGGAATCGCAGCTTGTAAGCGCCAAAAGCAGTACGCGAGCTTCTGCAGCTACAGCCGCCAGCCTTCTCGGGCAGCCACATCGCGCGCAGATATAAACAGGAGCGGTTGACAGGAGAAACGGACATGGGAGCAGCGCCTGCGACATCATCGGCAACATCACACCAGTTTCGCACACGCGTCTACTCACAGCATCATGCATAATCACGCGTGCGTCAACCCTCGGCTTCGCGCGCAAGAGAAGTTGGCAGGGCGAGATAGGTTGCGCTGCGCAACACCAAGCTTGCTCATCAGAACTTGCGTTTGACGTGTTTACATATTGTCCTTCGCCAGGCGAGGGAGGTGTCAGAGTTTATTTATCATGTTTCTATGCTGCTGGGCTGCCTGCTGACTAGATTGTTTTTCTCTAAAACAACAAGCTCGAATGATCTTTCACGAGCTTGGGACCTCGTCCTAACGCCTTTTGCCTGAGGTGTCCTACAGGTATGGCGACAACATAACCGTCAACTTCGCGCCTATGGATGACTCGCGGCCGTGGCGGATCACCAAGAACTATAGCAATCGCACAGCGGTACTTACCAATGGCTTGCAATCCTTCGACTTGTACAACGCCTTCAAGAATCGGAACCTCGACCTCAAAGTTCAGATCCCGGTGTGCGACCGCGTGCCAAGCAAGCGACAGCTCCGGAGGGGGTCTAGCGGGACCCCGTTGAAGAAAAGGCGGGCGCAGATGGAGAAAAAGAAAGAGACTTGGACGGACGCCAGGGACAGCCCTGAGGTGGTCCGCATCCCCCGGAAGCAGAGGGACGGCAGCACACTACCCTCTCGGAAGGCCGCTTCAAAGATGCGTGAGGATGGTGCCAGCAGCGCGGATGAGGCGGTGACGATCCCCCGGAAGGCCAAGGCTCAGGCAGCCAGCAGCGCGGACGAGGTGGTGATCCCCCGGAAGGCCAAGGCTTCAAAGAAGCGTGAGGACAGCGCGGATGAGGCGGTGATCCCCCGGAAGGCCAAGGCCCAGGCAGCTTCAGAGGATGGTGCCAGCGCGGACGAAGTGGTGATCCCCCAGAAGGCCAAGGCTTCAAAGAAGCGTGAGGGCAGCGCGGATGAGGCGGTGATCCCCCGGAAGGCCAAGGCCCAAGCAGCTTCAGAGGATGGTGCCAGCAGCGCCGACGAGGTGGTGATTTTCCAGAAGGCCCAGGCTTCAAAGAAGCGTGAGGATGGTGCCAGCGCGGATGAGGCGGTGATCCCCCGGAAGGCCAAGGCCCAGGCTTCAGAGGATGGTGCCAGCAGCGCGGACGAGGTGGTGGTCGTCCCCCGGAAGGCCCAGGCTTCAAAGAAGCGTGAGGATGGTGCCAGCGCGGATGATGCGGTGATCCCCCGGAAGGCCAAGGCCCAAGATGGTGCCAGCAGCGCGGACGAGGTGGTCGTCCCCCGGAAGGCCCAGGCTTCAAAGAAGCGTGAGGATGGTGCCAGCGCGGATGATGCGGTGATCCCCCGGAAGGCCAAGGCCCAAGATGGTGCCAGCAGCGCGGACGAGGTGGTCGTCCCCCGGAAGGCCCAGGCAGCTTCAAAGAAGGTCAGCAGCACGGACGAGGCGGTGATCCGCATCCCCCGGAAGCAGGCTCAGGCAGCTTCAAAGAAGAGCACGGCGGTGATCCGCATCCCCCGGAAGGAGGCCCAGGCAGCTTCAAACAAGCGTGAGGACAGTGAGACGGACAAGGCGGCGATCCGGAAGACCAAGGCCCAGGCCAGCAGCGGTGCTGACAGCGTAGACGACTCGGCGAGCAACGCCGACGTGGACATGACGACGCCGGTCAAGGACACAGGAAAGCGTGCTGATGAGTCGCTTTCCAGCGAAAAGGTGAAGGCGGCGCGCGCCGTGAGCGCTGAGGCTGAGGAGGGCAAAGCAGACGATGATGCAGATGATGCAGAGCTGTCGGCGCAACCCGATCCCGATGAGGATGGGGACTGCTTGGCTGAGCACTTAGAGAGAGTGATGGAGGAAGACGACGCCTGATCTGGTTGAGGAGTGAAAAAATCAAGCAGGGCGACAGGATTCGTTTAAGGTCGGTTTTCACCCACCCTATTTTTTGGTCACTGAACGGCCCGCGTTTGAGCGGTCACTCCATTGGGGCACATTGCCATCCCAGAGACATCCATGCCTTCTACCCCAGTTTCCTTCTTTTTTTAGGGTCGAAAGGAAAAAACCAGGTTTTTTTCCGCGGTACGGAATAATACGGGTAAATTACGGGGAATTACGGGTAAATTAAGCGAAAATTACGGGTTAAAAACGTCCGAAACCAGGTATTTTTCGACAAACCCGGGTTTTTTATTTTTACCCTAAAAATAGTAGGTTTTAGGGGTAGTAGGTGCACGTTTTCAGAGGTGATTGGGGGCCGACCATTTGGGGACAATCAGATAATCAGGCTGCCCGATACAGTTTGGGCCGACCATTTGTGGACAATCAGATAATCAAGCTGCCCGATACGGTTTGATGTTGAAGGATATGGCCCCCCTCTGGGGCGCAATTTTTGCCGGCGGGCGTTTTGCTGCAGGCGTTCCTTTCTCTCACAGAGCGACTCAAATAAAGGAACACGACAGTGCTCCACACTTTTGATCACTGTGGAGTTTACAAGGGCCGCTTTCGCTCACAGAAGCATTTGTTGGGTAGATTTCCTCTACCAATTCCCAGCCTGACTGTGCCTCAAAACGGCGTGTTCCTTTTTGTTGGTGATGTGTTTGAAAAAGGAACGCCTGGAACCCCACCCAAGTCGGGGCCCCTGTCTAATCCCAAGCGCTTTTTTAAACCACATAGCATCGCCGCTGGGCGAGCATATGAAAAGGCAAGGCCCGCAAAGAAACACTTAAAGGGATGGGACCTATAAATCTTTGTGAAGAAACACGGAACACCATGCCTGGTTTGTGTCTTCCAACACTTGTTCGAACATTTCAAGGAACCTGAGCCCTGAGCAATTCTGAACTGGACCTTAGCGGGCTGAGTCCTTGGCAGCTTGATGTCAGCTTGAAGGTAGCCGAGCCAAATCGTTTTTCCTGAACCAGTCAGTTGTCAATTGGCTTGGCGGAGGCGCAAACTTGCTCGGTCGCGAGTCGCGTTCTGGCTTGCTTGTTCGCTGACTACTAGCTTGCCATGTGGCTAGAAGTAGCTATAGAGCTTACCGACACCTAGAGATGGTGAGCTGGCTGTGTCGCGCTGTTCTGCACCGTTCCTTCACAAATGTTTCCCCAGTTCTCAACAGTTACTTCCATTTGTCATGTTGCTCACACCGTTTGTGATTTCGATTCAGCAACTTTTTCAACTCCGCCAGACTTCCATAGAGATGTGTCTGATTTTGTCCCAAGCGCAATCTTCGTCCGTAGCGGGGCACTCCGCGGAATCGCTGCTGGCCTGAGATATGTTAAATTCACATGTGGCTTCCCATGACCAAGTGTTGCCTGCAATTATTTGCACGCTGGGCTCTTCTTACCCATATTGTTTGCCCGCAAGTTGCAAGGAACGCCGTTTGAAAAGCAAGCGACCTTTGGCTTCTAGCGCTTTGCCGCCGGGTCTGAGGTCATCGACTGCTACTTGGCTTCGCGGGACAAGATCTTGCTAGAGTGTCAGCGTGAATTTCTCTCTGAGCAAGTGCCGGAATCGTCGGACAGCGAAGAGATGCACATAGAACTCCGACGATGAACGGTTCCCGGCAAAAAGTTGGGCTCACGCAGCTGCTTCGGGGCAGTAGGTGTGATTGGTGTTTTTCGGGCAATCTGCGGCATTTCAATAACCGCTTTTCGGTGGTGCGTTTGCCAGACATTGGGCTTTTCCCAGCACAGGCGTTCCTTTTCGCATCGCAAATTCACCGAAAAAGAACGCGCCTCAGCCTCCTTTTTAAGCCCCGCAGACGCGATGCTCTTGGCTTGTGTGGCCACTGGAAGTTTGACGGCTCAACTTTTCCAGGGCTGGGGTTGCCAAAATTCGCTTTGTGTTGTGACCATGGCAAGCTTTCGTTTCGAGTTACAAGCAACAAGCAAGGAATGCATTCTTTTAGGCCCACCAGGTGTTATTTTGAAAGCACTCCAGGGCGGGCGCTTTTTGCAGACATTCAGTTTGACGCTGCTTGTGAGGAGGTTTTGCCTCTGCATACTTAGTGATTTCGCTGGCCACCCACTGCGCGCATGGCCCATGCTTTGAAGAAACCCTCAATAACCACAAGCGACCCCTGATCTAGTCTGGGAGTGCTACATCGGTGGTCACGATCTGAAGAAACCTGAATCACCGCAAGCGACACCACAAGTGCTCCAACCCAGGGCTTAGCGTATTGCGCGGTTGCCGCCCAAAACTGCCCAAAACTGCCCGGTCCAGACCCCGTTAGCGCGATCCCCCGTTAAGGGCCGCCAAGAACATGGGTTGCTCTGGTAAATGGAAACATGGACATTCAAACCTGCGGTCCAATTCCAAGTGGTTTAATTTCGACCCACACCCAAATGGAAGGCAACCAAAAGTATTCTTAAACAAATGGAAGCAAACACATAATAAAGGTTTTTACCAACTTACTAAGTACCCGATCCCCCCTTTCTTGAAGTACCTCTTCCCAAAGTCACCCTTTTGGAGCCAAAACCATCCTTTTTCCACGCCAAGCGGCGTGCTGCTCATTTTCGCCCGGAGTCCTCCTCGCGGGGCCCCGGCAGAAATCCGGCTGTTGGCCTGGGCCCTGGAAAACCTTCCCTCAGGTCCTCCAGACTTGAGAGCTGAGAAGAAGTCAGGGCACCCGGCTGTTTCTTCTTTTTGTCTGCTCGCTTGCTGAGTGGGCCCCAAAAAAGCCCGAACTTTATATTTACCACTAAAATGGTCCAAGCCCAAAAAGTGACTAAAGTTCATGAACTGAGGAAGTGACTCTATTTTAAGGGGAAGCCTTCCCCAAACAAGTTGGCAAAAGCACTACTGGGGGGACCTAGTCTCTGAAAAATAGGATTGACCCCATAGTTGTTTGGGGCAAAGACCATTCTTAAGGGTAGTTTGAGGGTGCAGGTACAATCATCCCAACACCTGAAATGAGATTTGTAAAGAATTTACAGACCGACATGATGACATTTTCTCGGTCGCCCGAATCGGCAGATCGAGAATCACAAAATAGGCAGAATGGGTTGATTCCGTGGACCCCCTGAACGAGTTTCTCCTTCTTCTGGTTGGTAGAGATACATGTCCCCTTGTTGACAGCTTGAGAACACCTCTGAAAGCCGCCCTGTTCAAAATGCAGTGTTAGCCTTGGAAAACGACTAAGGGGAGCGGTTCCTTGCGTAACCCAAGGAGTACACTTCTTCAACAGGGCTCCCTATATTTCCCCTGAAGACATCACCCTCACCAAAACATACTCACCTTTCATGGGCCAAAAAGGTGATGTGTTAAACCGCCCAAAAAGGGAAATATAGGGACCCCTGTTCAATGGACCCTCTGTCAGGTGCCATGATTTTCTCACAAAGCGAAATGAGCCCAGTCAAATGTGTGCGAGCGCGTGTGCCTGGTGTGCTTGTGCGTGCACATGCGTGTCCATGCATGTGACTGTTCAAAAAATACATTGCGTTCCTCTGGGCAAGGAATGTCACATGAACTGCTTGGAAAGGGCATCGTTGTATGTTGTTCCTACGTGAATTGCAACGGAGCCAACAACCCTCAAACGCTTGGTTCTGTACCGAGACCCAAAAGCAATGCTTTTTCCCATGTCCAAGTACTGGCGAGAAAGCAGTGACTCGGATGTGTTTCAAGATCATTTTGACCCCGGCTTATGGAGTCGTACGTCCACTACCCTGGAACCCAAAGATATGGCCCCTTTTTAAGGAACATGATCTTCCAGGAGCCCCAAAAGTTAGGTTTCCCATGGCGAACTCCTGAAGTCAACATCCCGCCAGTTCCGGTCGTGAACAGAGTGAACAGCCCCGACTGAGTGCTGGCACCCACTGCCACGCTTGGAAGTAGGTCCTCGGCGCGCTTCGGCCGGATTTGTGCCACATGTTCGACCCGCCCGGCAAACAAAGCATGGAATCCTCACAAAACCCATGCCACATGTGTATGTCAGCATCCTTGGTAGTGTTGACCTCATATTGATCAACCCCTGTTCATGGATATGGGGGTGTTCCCCTCCAAAAGTGATAAATCCCAACTAAAACCAGGAACAACCCCATATTGATAAACTGGGGTTTATTAATCCGGAGTCAACATGAGGACTCGAGGACCATTCAATACTCCATGCTTGTCTTCAGGGAAGTGCTCCAAATTCAGCTTGGAAGTCGATTGCTTGTTGATTCCCCCTTACAAACCAGCTCCGAAATCATCCAAGGTGGTTGTTTGGGATATCTATACAAATCAACTTTATATGACATGGATGGGCCACGCGGTAAACTGAGGTCTAGGAGGCAACACGTCAACTGGCGGACCTGCTTTTCTTGCCCTCTATTCTCAACAGGAAGAGTCACCGATGTTGGGTCACTCCCACAGATCTGGGCAAAAGTCACATCTATACAAGTTGGGCCACTGGGGAAAAGCCCAGTGGATAAAGGTGCCCACACGCACACACACAATCACCCTCACTCAGGGAGAACCCCCCCCCAGTAGAATCGCCAACAAGGAAGGTTGGGCCAACCCCATGTTCAAACCATGACTATTTACACTCCCTCCTATTGGTTGCTCTGAAAAGCGTGGGCCAGTGTCGGGTTCTTTAAGGTTTCACCCTGCTAATTTCCTAACAGGCGCTGGACCGACTTTCCAGCAAAAAGAACAAGATGCTTTGCTGGGCAGTCTGTTTCAGATCCGGCTAAACGTGACCAATTTTTGGTGGGTCAAACTCGGAAACCACCAAGCCAACTAAAGGGATCTAACAAGCTAAGGGGACCGGATCGCTGGGAACCACCAAGTTCTATGCTGGAAATATGTTTTCCATCTGGCTCAAGCAAATGGAAGGGTGCTGCCCCTTAGGCCTTTCAGGACAACACCCCCGCCCACGGCGAACAGAAAATTGTCCCTGACGGTCCCAGGAAGAGGGAAGCTAACCAACAAGGAAACATAAAGCATGCTCTTAAGCAAATGGAGGATAATACCCAAGCGGAGACTGTTTTGCCAACTCAAAGGGACATATTCTTGGTACAGTGGATGAGTGGACCCCCGCAAAGAAAAGAAAGAAAAAGGACTGACCACGTACGACCGCATTGTCCCTGGCAGTGTCGGTACATTGGAGGACCCAAGCTGAGCACGCGAAACCAATGGACTTTCGGTACCATTGCTTATCAAGGTTGATAGAGGTTTGTCTATTTTTTGGGGAACCCTTTTGTTGGTTGGCTTTGAAGGGAACCAAAAGGACCCCAACCAGTTTTGGTGGGTCCCCTACAAACAGACACACGTCCATATAGGCTTTTCTGTAAGCCCCAGGAAACCAATTCTCCGCTGACAGATAGGCCAAAGGTCGGGGTTGGCCTTGTGATTCTTCAATAGCAAGACGTGTATGGTTCCTGTAACAACAAATTAGCGTTCTACTAATTCATCGTCTCACTTCCTGAGTGGATTGCCCAAAAAAAGTTCAAACCCCCAGAAGTACAAAGTCCAGAAACTCAGGGAGTGAGTCATAGAATCGCAGAGGCAAAATTTGGCATAAGACTGACACGGCATAGTAACCTTTGCTTGGCCAAGGAGGGAACTGCAGAAACCGGCCCCAAGCCTTCTGACGTTCTCTACCTGCGTACAGTAGCCCGCAAACATGCCGGGTCTGTACATGTGGATGGACAAATCCATTTCGCACAAGGCATGGATGAAGCCCTATGAATATCGGGATAAACCACCTACCAATTGGTACAGGATTTGGCCCATCCACGGCAATGAAATCTGTGCTTCTTGTTTGACTTGATCCAAACCACGTCCCAAGCGAGCTGACTCACCTTGACCGAAGGAACCTTTTTGCAAATATCCGTTTAAGTACTGGATGCTGGAGCACGATGGGAACCCAAACTCAGTTGTTCAGTGACCCTGGAAAAAAAAGGGAACCCTTTTTTGGGAAGACCATTTTTAGTGGGGCAGCCACCAAAAAAAAGGGGATGGCACTGAACAACTGAGCAAATCAGCCGATCCAAGATCGGGTCCCCAGCGATGCAAAGTTTTGCATGGCTCGTCAGATGGAACATGTTCTCAGCGACCGGCTGACTTGATCTTCCTTCCTTCCTTCCTTCCGCGGGCTCGAAACTGCGCAGGGCGGTTTCCCTTGAACCAACAAGCTTCAGCTTCTTTCCAGGCAACATCTTTCTGTCCTCCAGTAGAGAGGTTAGAACTCAGAATAAGAAAGAGAACCCCTTTCTCTCTTTCCCCATTTTTAGTGGGGGAAGCCTCCCCCCAAAAAAGGGGCGAGACAGGGCACTGGGGAACCTGCACATAGCAACCGAGGCCATTTCAAGGCGGTGGCCCGCACGTTAAGTGCAGCTCAAGCGGCTTCAGGTGATTCGTGTTTTCTTGCAGGTACTCGAGCAGGTGATCCTAGGCTGACCGAGCGATGAAACTTCGCCACCAAGAAACCCGCTTGGGTCACCCCGTTCTAGCATATGGAAACCTGAACTGGGCTGCCCGTTTTCGGATCCCCTGCTAAAAGTGACTAACTTCTAGCGGGTTAAATGGAAACCACCACTAAACACTAAAAGGCTAACAAGCTAGGGGATGGCTGGGAGCCACCAAGTGAAAACGGATCCAGACGACATGAAATTGATCGGAACCCGTTTGTTGCCTGTTGAAAGGGTCCCTGACGAGTCACACAAAAACTTGCGCGTGTGTGTTTTTTTTTTGCCCCCCACAAAAAATGGTGGTCTTCCTTTTCGTTTCCCTTTAAACCACAACAAAGGGGGTAACCTCAAAAAAGACATTCCCTGGAGCAATTTTAGGGAGTCATTTTTAGTGGTTCGAAACCTGCGGGGGAATTGGAGGGCTGGAGTCCCTGAACTGCGGGGCTTCTGTACCTCTTTGTGGTTTTCCTGGCCGCTTTCTATCCCCAAGCTTGCCTCGGCTTTTGCCCCGCCAAGAAAGCAGATATGTACATTTATCCATATGCGTATTATCATATATGTTTTATATGTCTATAAGTTTGCCTCAAAAATGGGAGAACCCACAAAAAGTGGCTGGCTTCCTTTTGGGGTACCACTTTACACACACACGCAAAGGAGAAAAAAAAAACATTCCGCCCGTTGTTCCCACAGAAAACATCGGAAACTTGGGGTTCCGACTGGTGGTTTTTGACGTACATATATGGTCACCCCCCCTTTGCCAGGGCCTACGATTCCTCTCTTCTAGTTGAAGGTGTCAAGTCTACTCCGTGTGCCTCGTTGATAAATTATATATATATATAGATATAGATATATACACATGTGTGTGTTTCCGCGCTGGTTCCCCGTCTCGTCCCGAACCCCTGGACTTTTTGTCCATCAAACACCGACCGGTTGCTCGCCGCTCGCTCGCTGGATCCCATCCGATCCATCCAGCCTGGATCGCCTTCACGCTGTCCTTGGGAAGCTGTTGGCGAATCTCGGCCAGGAGAGTCCTGAGCGACCAGACCCACAGCTCTCCTTTTCGCCGGGGGTGCATATGGGTGGGTCTGTCTTTAGTCCCTCCTCCCTCAAAAAAAAAGAAGAAGAAAAAAAGGGGAACAAAAAAAGTGGAAGTGTCCCGTTGGGGGGGAGGAGGGTTCCCTAAGGCTCCTAAAGGGAGGGAAGGTTTTTGTTGTAGGCTTCTAAGCGCAGAGGGGGGGGGGGAAGGGTTCCCAAAGGCCCACAGCTCTCCTTTTCACCCCGGCGAGCAGGGAGTGTGGGGTGCCTTTGGGCGCGTCCGAACAAAGTCCCCGCCCCCGCAAATGGCAAAGAACAGGAAGGAAATATCGAGGGACCCCTGCAATTACAATCAAGCTAGTGGGCGTGCGTGTCCTGGGGTGCCGTGGTGTCTTTGTGGGAGCTGTTTTTGAGGCAGCCGATATCATATGACTAGGGTACGATTCCAAGGGGAGCGAATCCAAATGGACGCTTGGCGAATTCCCACAATTCCTCGACGGAAACCACTAAAGGGGGCATCATTATTCCTTGCATCATCCAAGGCAAGTATGTCAGGATCAAACTGCCCTAACAGCGTGGAGCTTTTCGGATTACCATCATATTGGAGCAACCGAGGCACGCGGCTCCCCGTCCCCACCGCACCTTGCGGACACGCCTTTCGGCTTTCGGCTTTCCCGCGCCTGGACAGACCCTCCTTGACATTCACATTCTCGAGGGCAGAGTTAATGATCTGCTTCACCTGCTCAACTGCGAGCTGTCATGTTGGCAGGCTAACCAAATGGCCCTTCTAGCTTTGGTTACTTCCGTTTTGGCTTCCCTGTAAAAACACAAACAAAAACTACGTCCTCTAGTAGAGAGGTTAGAATAATTAAGGGTGTCCTTTTATTCTGTAGTCTATTTTAGCAGGGGAACCCTCCCCCAAAAAAGGGGTGAGAAAGGGCACTACTGGGGGACCTGGAAAAGGTTTAGTGGTTTAATCCGGAAACACCCTTTTAGCTGGCAAAAGTTAAAGTCCTAACATCCCTTGGCAACATGCACCAAAGAACAGACCCATGTACAGCCATCAGACCATCACAAACTTCAAGTCCCGTGCTTCCGACTTGCGACGATCAGCATCGTGTGCGCCACGATGCAAAGCCTTACAAGCACCTATCGGCCAAACAAAATTGAGCATGCAGATGTTGACACCAAACAGGTGTTCTTGCTTTTCTTTTATAAGAGAGACCAAAACAAAAAGATGCTGTTCCAAGCAAAGCAGCAGGAACTCGTTGGATTCGCAGCGACCTACGCCAGTTGAACCAAAGGCTGTTGAAAATCCACGGCCATATAAGCCACAAATTGGGTGCCCTGCAGTCTGACAGCCACAAGCTGGTATAGGCTAGTCACCCATGGCAAACAATCTTGCTTGTGCTCAAGAATGACCCAGGTTTTTGGGAAATCAACCCAGGAATTGGTCCCCTTAAAGGAAACCACAAGGAATGGTATATCGGGATCATTCCCTCTGCTGAGAACCAGCAAGCAATGTGATTCCTGATGCCTCTACTCACCTTCAATTGCCCAGGGCTCCTGTTTGATTGCAGCGCCTCTTTGCTCCTTTGCAGGGCTGTGGGGAATGACCACTTCTGTGATACAACAGAAAGGGCCTAACCCCAAAGGCTATTTTGATCATAGAAAGGGGGATTCTCCTGATAATAGTATCGCAGAAGTGGTTGGAGAAACCCCGCGAGCGATCAACCACCACCCTGATCCTTTGTATCTCCCAAACAGTAGCTTGGGCTTCGGGCAGCGTAGCACGCCGCTCTGAGTGAGACGTCCCCCAAACACAGAATTCGGGAACGGGACCGTTCACGGCACGCGAGGGAGCTCGGTGGACGCAGCTTCAGACATCGCATCCACAAAAACAGAAACACATAGGGTAGGTTGCAGGTTTGGTGGAGTCAACATCAAATCCTTGTACTAAAGGAGTCTGCCTAAAGCCAATGGTGAAGAAACAAAACGGCGCAAAGCCTCACCGATTTATGGTTGGGAGCCCTTAGATTCTCGGTTGCGAAATCTGCTCCCCTGCGAAAAGTGACTAACTTTTAGTGGTTTAATGGAAAACCCATTAGTTGGCAAAAAGTTAAAGTCCTAACATCCCTTGGCAAAATGCGGCAAAGGGTTCATCTGCTCGGATGTTTGATGCGGTTGAATGGTCAACGCCAGGGTTTCCAAAAGATCTAAAGGGCGACGGGCGGGGATCGCCCAACTAGGCGCCGCTCGGGACGTGCCGCCATATATATATATATATATATATGCCTGAAGCCGGGGACGCCAACCTACATGCCAGGTATGTAAGGGGTATACATGTATATGCGTGTATAATATTGGGGCGTGGGTGACTACATGTATATATATATATATATGTATTCCTATACATATGGCCTGGTGGTTTAATTTTGACCCATGCCCATATGGCTGTGGGTCAAAACCAATGGTACCATTTTGGGGTAGGTGCACCACCCATTTTTGTCTATTGTAGTGGGGATGGGGATGTTCACTGGGGGTACGGGCTTTGGATTTTGACCCATGGCCATATGCGTACCTGTAGACAAACAGAAAAATCGATCTTTGGAACCACGGCAGCCCCCGCTCCGCCGCCCAACCCCCGGACGCCCGAAGTCGTCGTCTTCTCTTCGCCTCGTCGGAGCCCAACATCTCCAGCTTGATTTCGTGGCCTCAGGGCGGCCGTGATTTCGAGTCAATCGGGAAAAACAAAGATCGGACGGCTTCGGGTTCTCTAAACGGGGCGGTTGCGTTGCGGCCGTCCTTTTTTTTGGGGGGGGGATGCCTCCAAAAGGGAGGTTGGGGGGGCTCATCTTTTTTAAGGGTGGGTCCAACATGGATGTTGGGCGGCTGGTCTTTTTTAGGGTGCCCTGTAAAAGGTTTCTTGTTTTTTTTGGTATAGAAATTCGTAATCCACATATAGACTCCTGAAGCGGGCTGTTTCCCTTTGGGTGTAGCACCCAACAAACGAGAAACGGGGTCCTTGTAAGCCCTGAAGCACCTTCCAAAATTGGGTCCCCCATGTTGGGCACTCCCTGAAAATTCCCTTTTGACGCTGTTTCATGCAATTGCAAAAAAGGCTCAAGTCTCCATGCCAAACGCGACCCATCTCAGAAATTCACGAGTTCAGCTTACTACATTGTGAACTGTGATCGAATCGCACATTTAAGAGGGATACAGACCCTAGCAATGCACGATTTTTTAGGATGCAGCTGTGACATGGAATTGTATGTCAAAGTCTTTGTACGTTGTAGTTGAGGTTGCGAATCGCTTCGTACACCCGAGTCTCAGGCAAAAAAAGACAGCTCCGACATGCTGTGAGCTGGTCAAACTGCCAGCGCAACAATGAAATAAGTGGACGAACGAACGAATGAACGAACAAACCAACCAACCAACCAACCAACCAACCAAGCAAGCAAGCAACCAACCAACCAAGCAAGCACAAGTTCAACTACTCAGCGTCAAACGATGGGCTGATAATGGTCATTACTCCGGTGGAGCTTAGCAACAGCCTCCCCACAAGCAGCAAAATGTCCAACCCAGCCGACCAGCAACGCTAATTGCCCAGCTGTACTCCTACCAGCAAACCAATAGGCGAATTGCAATAGGTCGCTTGCCAACAAGAAACAGCCAATCATGGCGCGTTGGATGTTCCTTAAACGGGGATCCTTACATGAAAAACACCTGACCATTGCCTTGTAATTGGTGGTGTCCAACTGTATTTTGGTGTTTAAAAAGCCATGTTTCAAATGGTGACAAAATGTATCTTTTCAGGAGCCCTGCCCCTCTTTGGTCCATTTTGAAAGGGGCTCTGGGGGTTTTGACCCACAGCCGTATGTCACGCACATCTATGGACGTATCAAGTCGCACATCTATATACCTCTGCCAAACAAATTGCAAGCCTTGCGATAGCAATGCCAGGAGCGGCGCGCAAGTCACTAAGTCCCTGCCGCGTCCCTCCCTTTAAACGGTCTTTGTGCTGAAAAGCCCAAAAAGCGAATCACAGTGAACATAAGAGCTTCAAACCGACTCAAACCAAGTGTTCTGTAGAAAAAACGGTGTGTCTCTCCAATACCGTGAAGAATGGACAACAAAGGGCTTGCTTCCAACTAGATATGAGTTCTGAAATACCCACGCAATGGCTAAGGTTTGCCTTGACTTCCCTAAGCCCAATCGAATGGGCATTCCTCTCCAGAAAGACACCTGGACCCTCAAACTACCCATAAAAAAGGGAATTCACTCCTTAATTTTGAGGCTATAACTCATATTCAAGGGAGTTTTTAGGGTCCAGGCATCATTTTGAGATGAGCAGACCCCGCCCGCCTTCCCTCCAAACCGAAGGTCCTGCCTCTATACCGGAAGCCAAGTGTTTGTGAACAAAAAAATACCCTTTCAATCTGGGTTGCCCCAACAACCGTGAGGTAAACACACGCTGGTGCTCGGGGAATGAGTTGGAATGATCAGCAGTTGGATGTTTGTTTTTGTTTTTTTTTGTTTATTAAAAAAAAATCGCCGTCATTCCATTCCTCATTCCGTGCATCTCTCGCACCAGCAAGTCAGTTCCCACTTGGGATATTTTGAGTCTTGGTACCGAGGCTTCAGGAACCCAGGCCGGGGGGGGGGGTGGTCCCGGTGGGTTTCCGAGTGGAATACCAAAGTAGAGAACCACCCAGAATTATGGATGTACACATACAAACAAAGAAATCCATAAATCAAACATGCTTGTATATATAATATATGTATATCGACATATATATATATATATACATATTTATATGAATAGTACATATATATATATATATGTGCTTATATCATTATCATTGATGCCGGGGGGGGCAGCAAGGAGCCGATGCTATGAGACCTTGGCTTCCGAGCAGAAGTCCATGAAGCGGTCGTGGAACAAGGCGGTGGCCCATTCGTCGGCCAGGAACCTGGCAAAGGCAATAGGCTTGCTGCGATAAGTCGGGAATGTGGGAATGAAGCTAGGGATTCTCTTAAGTACTGTAGGCATGGCTAAGGGTCATTCCATTTTTTTGCCAAAAGTCGAACACTTTGAGTGGGAGTTCGGAAAACCAACCAAACAACTTCTCATTTGTTCAGTGAGTTTGGGGAAGAAGGGGACCCTTCGTTGGGAAGACCATTCTTAGTGGGGCAGCCACCAAAGAAAAGGGAAAAATAATTGGTGCCACTGAACAACTGAGACCAACTACACGCCTAAATTTCTTTAGGGACCGAATGGCTGGGAAGCACCAATAAAAAACAGTTGATCAATCTTCTGGTGGCTCCTACTCAAACGACCGCCACGAAATGGAGGTTTTAAACGACACAAATGGAATGAGCCCTGAAAAACTGGGACCAACCAATGTTTGCCCAAGTTTGGATTCCCTTCGCCTTCTCTTTGGCTTGCCTGCTCCTTTCGGTACTCCCATTGGTAGCAGGAAAACAGGGAAACCCCAGTCCAAAAGCCTCCAGGATGGGAGATCAACCCCTAGGATTGCCCTCTAGAGAAACCCTTCGCACTTGGGGTCGGTTTCTTCAATTTGACGCCAAAGGAAAACAAAGGGGTTGTGGGGGGTCCAAGCTCCTTCTTAAAGGGAACAAAAGGAGATACACTTTTTTGGGTCAGTCTTTACCGTAATGGAAAAGGGAAACCTTTGAAGCCTTGACATGAAAGCAAGGAGAACTAAGAAGCCGAACGGAACTAAGGGACACTTTAAACAAACAAAGAACTGGAGGAAAACGAAGCACACTTAGGATTACCGTGAGGGGAATCCAAAGAACGCTTTTTCGTCGTTCTTACTGATGGCTCTTTTTGAAGGGAACCAAAAGCAAACCCTGTGGGGGGGGGTTGTTTCTCACTGAAACCCCCGGATTGCCCTCTTTGTTTTGAGGGAAGCCAAAAAGAAACCCCGATGGGTGTCTGAAAGATGGATGTATATCTTGGAGGTGCTGGAACAGTTTCCAATTGGGGCCCCAATTTGGGGCCCCGCATTGTGGCTGGCTAAGCTCAGGTCGCATTGACATCCTCAAAATCATGAGCAACGCAGAGAGAACCCAGGCCCCTTGTTTTTGGCCGGCTCAGTACCCTCCCATACTGTGCATGGGCAAAATCTTGAATCAGTTGGAAAGTGGTTTATCCAAGTATGTCTAGGGCTTTATCCGTTTCAGCTGGTGCAGGTTTTTGGCCACAGTAGGAAAACCAAAGGGAAACCGACGGCAATGGGTCGAGGTTTCGGGATGTGGAGAGGCCGATGTTTTGGAGCCACTTCAGTGGTCAAAACCTGCAGGCGATGGACGTGTGTCCCTGATGTCTTGTGGGTATCCATGGTTGCGGAGTTTAACAGATCTTATTAGTCACTTGTTCTAGTGGGTAAATTCCGACTGTGTCAATGACCCCGTGGCCACAATCTCTGAATCACTCGGATTCAGCTGAGAAAACAACTAACATGGAGTCGATAAATGGCTGCAGTTGGTCGCCACATCGGCTCCGAGCACTGCTGCAACCATCTCCTGTGACGGCAGAGTGCATGATTACTCTCAAGGCATTGAGGTGGCAGTAGCCGAAAGCCTAAACCTGGGTGAAAGTCGAGGGGGCAATTCCCTTTATCTTTATGGGTGTGTCTTTGTTTATGGGAACCCCCAACATGGGTGTTTTCCTTCTGGTTCCCTTTAAAGCCAACAAAAGGGGCACCTCAATTAAACAACACACCCATGCGTTAGTAATTAAAGGGGATGACTAAGCCAACACGGGGGTCAACCCAAAGCAAACCAAAGAACTAGGAGTACTGATCAAAAACCTGCGTTCGAGGACATTCTACAGGAAAACCCGCTTCCTTCGGGGCGTTTCGTTTTGGGCCATTTTCTGTATGAACCTGACCTACCGTCGACCCAAAAGCTTTTGGGGGCCTCGACCGGCGACCGTTTCGGCCGGCGAGCCGGCGAGCCGGCGAGCCCCCGAAGCCACAAGCTCGCCGGCGGGGCTCCACGATGTCCGGGATGTCTTGATCCCTGGCGGGCGATTCCTCTGACTTCTTGGTGGTGGCGGTGGTGGTGACGGTGGTGGCGGTGGTGGTGACGGTGGTGGCGGTGGTGGTGACGGTGGTGGCGGTGGTGGTGACGGTGGTGGCGGTGGTGGTGACGGTGGTGGCGGTGGTGGTGACGGTGGTGGCGTGGGGTGACGGTGGTGGCGGTGGTGGTGACGGTGGTGGCGGTGGTGGTGACGGTGGTGGCGGTGGTGGTGACGGTGGTGGTGTGGGACGGTGGTTGGTGACGGTGGTGGCGGTGGTGGTGACGGTGGTGGTGGTGGCGGTGGTGACGGTGGTGTGCGGTGGTGGTGACGGTGGTGGCGGTGTGGTGACGGTGGTGGTGACGGTGGTGACGGTGGGTGGTGTGGTGGTTGGCGGAGTGGTGGTGACGGTGGCGGTGTGGTGACGGTGGTGGCGTGGTGGTGGACGGTGGTGGCGGTGGTGGTGACGGTGGTGGACGGTGGTGGTGGTGGCGGTGGTGGTGACGGTGGTGGTGGTGGTGGTGACGGTGGTGGACGGTGGTGGTGACGGTGGTGGCGGTGGTGGTGACGGTGGGTGGTGGTGGTGGTGACGGTGGTGGCGGTGCGGTGGTGACGGTGGTGGTGACGGTGGCGGTGGTGGTGACGGTGGTGGCGGTGGTGGGTGGTGACGGTGGTGGTGGTGGTGGTGACGGTGGTGGTGACGGTGGGGGGTTGGTGGTGACGGTGTGGCGTGGTAGGTAGACGGGGTGGTGGTGTGGTGACGGTGGTGGGGTGTGGTGACGGTGTGGGCGGTGGTAGTGACGGTGGTGGTGGTGGTGGTGACGGGTTGTGCGGTGTTGAGTGACGTTGTTGGCGGTGGTGGTGACGGTGTGGCGTGGTGGTGAAACGGTGGTGCGGTGTGGTGACGGTGGTGGGGGGTGGTGGTGACAGGTGTGGCGGTGGTGGTGACGGTGGTGGCGGTGTGGTGACGGTGTTGGTGGTGGTGGTGTGACGGTGGTGGCGGTGGTGGTGACGGTGGTGGCGGTGGTGATTGACGGTGTGGACGATGGTGGTGACGTGGTGGTGTGGTGGTGACGGTGGTGGCGTTGGTGGTGACGGTGGTGGCGGTGGTGGTGACGGTGGTGGTGGTGGTGGTGACGGTGGTGGTGGTGGGTGACGGTGGTGGCGGTGGTGTTGAACGGTGGTGGGCGGTGGTGTAGGTGTTGACCAAGGTAGTTGGTCGGTGTGTGATGGTGACCGGTGTGGCGGTGGTGACGGTGGTGGCGGAGGTGGTGACGTGTGGCGGTGGTGGTGACGTGGGTGGGGTGGATGACGGTGAGGCGGTGGTGGTGACGTGTGTGCGGAGTGGACGGTGTGGAGGTAGGTGTGACGGTGGTGGCGGTGGTGGTGACAGTTGTGGTAGTAGTGGACGGTGGAGTGTGGTGGTGACGGTGGTGGCGGTGGTGGTGACGGGTGGCGGAGGGTGACGGTGGTGGCGGTGGTTTGGTGACGGTGTGTCGTGGTAGGTGGACGTGGTGGTGTGGTGGTGACGGTGGTGGGTTGTTGGTGACGTGGTGGCGGTTGTTGGGTCCGTGGAGGTGGATGGTGGTGACGGTGGTGCGGTGGTTGGAGACGAGGTGGCGGTGGTGGTGACGGTGGTGGCGGTGTGGTGACGGTGGTGTTGGTGTGGAGACGGTGGTCGGCGGTGGTGGTGACGGTGGTGCGGTGTGGTGACGGGGTTGTGGTGGTGGTGCCGGTTGTGGCGGAGGTGGTGACGGTGGGCGTGGAGGTGACGGTGGAGGATGGTGGTGATGACGGTGGAGCGTTGGTGGTGACGGTGGAGGCGGTGGTGGTGACGGTGGTGGCGTGGTGGTGAACGTGGGTGGCATGTGGTGAGACGTGTGGTGGTGGGGTAGGAGACGGTGGTGGGGAGCGAGAGGTGGTGACGGAGGTGGCGGTGGTGTGACTGTGGTGGCGTGAGTGGTGTCGGTGGTGGCGGTGCGTGGAGACGGTGGTGGCGTGTGTGACGTGGTGTTGGTGAGTGTTGACGAAGGTGGAGCGGTGGTGGTGACGGGTGAGCGGTGGGGGTGTACGGTGGTGGCGGTGGAGGTGAGTGGTGGCGGTGGGGTAGACGGTGGTGGCGGTGGTGGTGACGGTTGTGGGGTTGGTGGTGTGGGACGGTGGGAGGGCGTGGTGTGACGTGTGGTGCGGTGGGGGTGACGGGGGTGGTCGGTGGTGGTGACGGATGGTGGCGGTGGTTGACGGTGGTGGTGTGGTGGTGACTGGTGGTGGCGTGGTGGTGACGTGGTGGCGGTGGTGGTGACGGTGGAGTGGTGGGTGGTACGGTGGGGCGGTGGTGGTGACGGTGGGTGCGGTGGATGGTGAGCGTGTGGCGTTGGTGGTGACAGGAGGTGTCGGTGGTTGTGCCGGTGGCCGGATGTGGTGACCTGGGCGCAGAGCCACCCGGACGAGATTGGCGGTGGTGGTGACGGTGGTGGTGGTGGTGGTGACGGTGGTGGCGGTGGTGGTGACGGTGGTGGCGGTGGTGGTGACGGTGGTGGTGGTGGTGGTGACGGTGGTGGTGGTGGTGGTGACGGTGGTGGTGGTGGTGGTGGCGGTGGTGGTGGTGGCGGTGGTGGCGGTGGTGGTGGTGGTGAAGAGGGCGCATCAGCGATTCTTCGCACCCCTCCTACCTGTTGCTTTTGATTGAAAACAAGCATCCTTGCGATTATTTCCATTAATCAACAAACTCTAAACATAGTATGTGTTGCCAAGACTTGCAAGTTCTTCTTCTTGTGTCTGGCCCACTCTTGCCATGATATGTTCGGTACAGTATACTGCTGCTGCGAGAGATGCAGGGAACGAGTTGGAATGCCCCCTTTAAACCATCCAACTGGTGCTGTCCTTCCAGGTGACGCCTGAGCTCATTCCCACATTCCCCGCCTATCGCACCAGCAAGAAAAGGTCCGACCCAAAGGAATGTTCATTTTGGACGGAAGACTGTGCCAGCGAAATCTCTTAGACATAATTTCCCAGGTGCAGAATCCAGGTAGTCGACTGTTCCACCTACTATTTGCCGTGTGGTATCTTGTTTGTTTGTCTCCCGGGGCCAACATGTGCCGTGTCGTATCCTGGCCTTAGTGTCCAGGGTGTGTGCGCTCGTTCTCTGTGGGTGTGGGATGGGTCGGCTGAGACTGGGTTCGGGATGGATTCTGGGGTGGGTGCTGGGTTTGTTCAGGGTGAGTTCAGGGTGTGTTTCGGGAGGCGAGTGCGGTTTTCGGCTAGAATTTAGCATAGTTTCAGAGCTGTTTCAGGTTGGGTGCACGCCGGATGGTCAGCGAAAAGCCGCACAAGCCAAAAGCCGAGCGCCAAACTCTGATCCAAAAGACGGAGAAAAGGCAAGTAAACAACAACATAGACACAAACCGGCCCTCCTTTCCACCTCCGGTCCAGAGTAGACAATATGAGGCTAAGAGCTTAGGCTCAAGGTATGTTCAATGAAGCGAATGAGCTCAGCATGAAGATGCTCAATGAAGCGATCACCGCCTCCATCTCTGGTAGAGGTGGTTCAGGAAGGTCTCGCTGAGCCCCACCAAGCCTGATGGGTCACGACCAATGCCTCCAACTTGCTGTGTCTTGAAGGGGGAACTTGCCAAAGTCAAAGGGTTGATTCCAACCATTCTTTGAAAACCATCGTGTTTTTTTCCAAAACCGGATCCGTTTCTTTGGGTGTCCGGAGGTTTTCCAGAAAGAAGGATCCCTGGAAAGAATGGGGAAGGTAGCACTAGAAAAATGGATGGTTCCCTTTGAATTCCCTTTGAAGCAAACCAAAAAGGGAATCCAAACACATCCAACCGCAGAAAGTTTCGAAATGAATGGGGCTTCCATTTAGGTTTATTTCACTACAAAAAGGAGTGGATAAAATGTGCACAAAGGAAGCCATCATCTGCAACCAAAACTAGCTCCTCCAGTAGAGAGGTTAGAATAAGGATGACCTTTTTCTGTAGTCTATTCTACTAGGGGAACCCTCCACCAAAAAAGGGGTGAGACAGGGCACCTAGCTGGGGGACCTAGAAAAAGCATCCCGTCAGCTAACACTTTCAAGTATCATTTGATGGTTGCTCAGTGGCCACGTTGGAAAGCAAGCGCCCCTTTGTTGGCCATGCTTCAGGGAAACGCCGCAAGAAAACCCGTGCAAAGGGAAGGCCCAAAAATCAAAACGGTCAGCAACGATTACAATCTATACTGGGAGCAAGGCTAGGTCCTCCAGTAGCGAGGTTGGAATAAGGGTACCAACTTTTTTCTGTAGTCTATTTTAGTAAAACACTGGGGGACCTAGAAGGAATCCGTCATGTCAGGAAATATCATGGGCCCCGAGATCTTCAGCAAGGCCGCATTTTTTTCGTGAGGGGATCAGGGCCACTCTGATACCAAACGGCCTTCCAAACACTGGCTCATTCACTTCAGCTGGGTGGGGTGGGGTCCTGGTTTTACAGTGCAAATTCCTATCCTCACATTCTCACACCCCTGAGCGGGAGGGCCATCGGTTCCCCAACGTCTTCTCGAATTGCTCGAAGGGGCCGAGATTTGGTTGGGCCGACACCCTGCTTAAACAACGAAACATGTTTAAACACCATGTTGTTTTACCACCTCCTTTTCTTTCCCCTTGAAACGGGGGCTGGGGTCTGGTTGTTCAACACCGAGAACCCTAAACAGCCACCCGCCAAAACCTCCCGAATCAACCTGGACACCACAAATTATCAGCTAGCGACTTGATATCCATGCATGACTCCTGATTGAGCCAGCTATACAAATCTCTACGACCAACAAAGCTTTCACTGCTCAACTAGGTCCTCCAGTAGAGAGGTTCGAATAAGGGTGCCCTTTTGTCTGTAGTCTATTTTCCAATCAAAAAAGGGGTAACAGCGCGGGCACCTAGCTGGGGGACCTAGTCAACTTTGCTGGCGGTCTTTGTGTTCCCGGGAAGTTTTCCGAAAATACGGTACTTCCCCTTTGGTTCCTGTTAGCACACCCACAAAAAACCGCCTCCACAACACACACACACACACACACCCAGATGGCCATGGGTCAAAATCCAAAGCCCGTACCCCCAGTGAACGTCCCAATCCAACCACTAAAATAAGTTCTAACATGGGTGGTGAATTCACCTACCTTGGTTTTGACCCACGGCCATATCTGTTTCCTTGGAAGGATCAACCATTCCAAGGTTATGACCATGGATACCCATGAATAAAAGGTTTTCTCCTGAAGTGGTGGAAGGTTTGGGGGGGAAATCTCGTTTTTGCTCAAACTTAGACGCCCTGCAGAAAGCCAGACGTTGTATGCCGGTGTTGCTTGGAAAATGAAGGAAAGGGCAAAAAGTGAAACACTGGTTGCTTACTTAAAGGGGGATTCTCCTTTGTAAGTGGCCCGTGGGTAATAACCATGGTTCCAACCCACAAAAGCCCTGGTTCTCAGTCTCCGTTCAGTGGGTTATAACCTCACTCTCTGAGTAGATGGCCCAACAAATGTCCAAATTTCTTCTTTACCAAGTGGTCCAAACCCAAAAAGTGACTAAAGTCCAAGACCTCGAACGCAAGTAAGAGTCTCCGTGCATTTTCAGAACTGAAGCCGAAAAACACCAGCCGCAGTCTTACTGTAGCCTTACTTCCATTTGCTTATGGCCCCTGCAGAAATAATCGTCATCCGTCCAGTAGTGCTGGGTTCCCTTTAACACCAAAAAGGGAAAAGAAATAAATATTTCACTGTACCCAGAATACAAGCTTACTGTACCCAAAAAGAGTCTAAAACCAAAAAGGGGCACAGTAAACCTTTCAGCCAGTAGTGATAGGTTCCCTCAGGTTGCCTTTAAAACCCAAAAAAAGGGAAAAAACAAATATCCATTTCAGCCAATGGAAGCTTACTGCACCCCCGCGTCTCACCCCCTTGGACGTATGGGCCGGGCGCCCGGGCTCCACAAGCTCTCCACTTGCAGCGCCTCGCCGCCTCGAGCGAAGAGCGAATTCGACGAAGCAACGAGCCGGGGCCGGCTGGCGGCTGGTGGCCTGTCGAGCGGTTTCTTGGTGGCTTTCTAAAGAGGAGCCAAAAGGAGAACGAGCCATCCTGAAGGGAGTTGGCTTTTGTGGGAGAAAGAAGTTGCTTGTGGTTTTTGTGGCTCAAAGGAGTTTCTGTTGGTGGGTTTTTGTGGGTTTCTTTCAAGAGGAACCAAAAGGAGGACCACACTTGGTTTTGTTTGGGGGGGTTCCCCAACACGAAACACCATGTTGTTAGACCCAAAAGTCAGTAGACCCAAAGGGACAACTAGCTATGGAGTAAATGGTGAACCGCCTTTTGGTTGGTATTGAAAGCACAACCCACAGCAAACCAACCATTTTAGGATCCTTCCCCCCCCCCCCCCCCAATTTTTAAGACAGGCCCATGACTGTCTTCCACACCCCTCAACTTGAATTTTAGGAGGATAACCCAACGTGATCAAGACGGTATTGGACCACCCTGCTAAAGGCAAGAAACAAGTGCTTGTCAGTGAGAAAGCACGCACATTGCTCAAATAGTTCAAAGTCAAAGGTCAAACTATGCCAAACCAAAGAACCTTGTCACTGACACGGATTGTGCAGAGAAACCGGGGCCCATGTAAGCCATCGCCGGATCGCAAGGCTCCAGTGCCGCGCTACAGCTCGCTGGGGCTCAGCTTCCGCCGGCTCCATGTAGTCATCCACGAAAACCGGCTCGCAGCGACTGTCTTCTCTTGGTTGACGTTGGAAGGGGAGCAAAAAAAGATATGTTTAGCAGTTCAGTGGATTTGGATTTCAACCACTAAACCACAAGAAGCAACAATGTAAAACGTTTCCCAACAACAACCATGTTCTGTGTCACCTGCATCATCTGCAGTCTCGGAAGATGTCGGCGTGTACTGGGGGTATGCAGAAAAAAAAACAGCTTTTGGTTTGGCTGGTTGAAGGGAACATGATGGCTCCATGAAGCACCAGGCAGCAGCCCCTCACTTGAGTTGGGAACAGCTTCATGCTCAGGGCATTCTCTTCCAAGAGCATAGGTGACCTTGCGGAAAAATCAATGGTACTGGAAAAAAGGGGATAAAACCAATCTTAGCCAGTGGAACCCATTTATCTCTTACCGAGCTAGCCTAAAAAGGCAAATTGGGATACCAGCTCCTTAGCTTCTCTTCAGAAAATGGGCCAATCCATGACCAAATGGGTGGTTTCTCTACTGAGAACATTGGGTGAAAGGAACGGGGAATCAACTCTTCGCTCATTTTGAGCTCGGTTTACAACTAAGGAAAACCAAAAAATGGGTCTGTCGTGTGTGAAGTGCCCCCAAAAATGGTTGCGGATTTCCTCTTGGTTCCCCTGTAACACCACCAAAAACCGGGGTACCGAGGCTCAAATGAGAGACCCAAATCCGTTTTGCGGATTCCCCTATGTTTATTCATAGGGTGGGTGTCCCTGGCTTTTGTGGGGAATCAGACCACTTTTGGAGGGGCCCCCCACTATTAACCAACTGGGGTTGAACTCAGTTCCTACGGTCCAAACCCAAAAAGCTTCAACTCCAGGAACTCGAAGGAAAGTGAGTCAATACCCAGGTCCTCCAGAGAGGTTCGAATAAGTTGGTACCACCTTTTCTTCTTTTTTGTCTGTTTTAGTAGGGGAACCCTCCCAGCCAAAAAGGGGTGAGAAAGTTGGCACCTAGGGGGACCTAGATACGGGGTCGAAAACTTGGACACGTTTTTCTGAGCCCCGAGCCCAGGTACGTAATGGAGTCCACTTTGCCCAAGCTGTCCAGCGTCAGCCGACCTCGGAGTTGCAAAATAAAACAAATGGGCGACCGGAGCCTACCAATCGAGTCTCCGGGGTGTGTCCGTTATTATGGGACCCAATACTGGGTACCCGCAAAAAAAGGACATGCCCCTACGCGGGTGTTGGGTGTTTCCCTTTTTCTTTTCTTTCTTTTTCGGATTGAAGGCACCTTTTTCGCCTTGGATTCCTCGGACCCAAGAAAAAACACGCCATGTCTGGGATACCCCCGGGTTTCCCGAGCCGGAAGCAGACCGAGACCCCTTGAGCAAGGCGAACGGGTTTTGTTCAACGCTTGGTATGGAAACCACCACTCCACCGCGCTGTCCGGTTTCAGATCCGCCAAAAGTCGAAGACTTTTCGTGGGCCAACTTCGGCCCCCCCCTCCTCAAAGCCGAAAAAAAGATCCAACAACCCCCAGGAACCGGATGGCAGGAGCCACCTTTTGAAACCCAAGGAACCTGCACACCTGCGCTGGAACCGGATGGCTGGCAACCACCTTTTGAGAAGAAGGCTGTTTAAACCGGAGATGTTGCCCTCTCACCAATTGACATGGAACATGGAACCTGACCTTCGGGACCCGGTCCCTTGAAAAGGTTTAGTCTGTCCAAACCACCGATCCCCCAAAGGTCAGGTTCTAGGGTTAGCATGTTGAAAGGGATTGGCCTGCAAACGACACTGTCAAGGAAAACATGTACCCCTGCGGGCCGTACACCAATGTGTGCCATGCTCAAAACTCCTGTGGCTGGTAATTAACCATGGTTCCCCAAGGTTCAAAGGGTTGATCCCACAGTCTCTCAGAAACCGAGTTTTCGCTGCGGGCGATTGGTCCACCAAAGAGAAGGATCCCAGAATGCGGAAGGCATGGTGCCCTTAATTAGGAACCTCTACTTTGGCTGTCTAAGAGGACCATCCCAGCCAAGAGCTAGGACCATAGAAACCAAAACCCAACTGAGAATACCAACCAATGGGGTTTACAAGGGGTCTATGGATGTCTACATATCTATACATACATACATACATTACATTACATTACATTACATTACATTACATTACAGTACATTACATTACATTACATAACATTACATTACATTACATTACATAACATACATACATACATACATACATACATACATACATACATACATACATACATACATACATACATACATTACATACATACATACATACATACATACATACATACATACATACATACATACATACATACATACATACATACATACATACATACATACATACATACATACATACATACATACATACATACATACATACATACATACATTACATACACATACATACATACATACATTACATACATACATACATACATACATACATACATACATACATACATACATACATACATACATACATTACATACATACATACATACATACATACATACATACATACATACATACATACATACATACATACATTACATTACATTACATTACATTACATTACATTACATTACATTACATTACATTACATTACATTACATTACATTACATTACATTACATTACATTACATTACATTACATTACATTACATTACATTACATTACATTACATTACATTACATTACATTACATTACATTACATTACATTACATTACATTACATTACATTACATTACATTACATTACATTACATTACATTACATTACATTACATTACATTACATTACATTACATTACATTACATTACATTACATACATACATACATACATACATACATACATACATACATACATACATACATTACATACATACATACATACATACATACATACATACATACATACATACATACATACATACATACATACATATATTATATATATATATACATATGGTCGGGTTTTTTTTAGACGTACCTTGTTGTTGGTGGTTTAAAGGAATCCAAAAGGACGCCAACCATTTTTGTTAAGATATCTAAATTTGCATGAAATTATGTCCCTTGGCTCTGCCCCCTCACCGCCCACAGGGCTGGGCAGCTGAGCAAGCCAACATATGGTCAATTCCAAAGGGAAACCAGAAGGTTTTGGTTTTACCTAGTGCCCAGACAAAAGACACAATGCATCCCGAGGGACGAATAAATCAACAAAATGCGGATGCTCTGCACTTGAAACAATGGTCTTCATCCTGAATCCTGAGACTTCGCGTCCAAATCCAAGTCCTAAGTTATTTGAATCCAACATATCCAAGTTTGGCGCTGTTTTGTGCGTGCCCCGAAATATTCGGCTGGGATGCTTGGTGCTTTGCTGTCCCCAGAAAGCTCGCGGCCGGAACGAGCCTGGAAAAATTGCATGGTGCAGCCCAAGCAAGTGCCCAAAGGCCATGAAGGACGCAAATCTTTCGAGCTGGAAGATGTTGTAGTATGATACCACCTTTACAGAGAAACCTACCCACCAAAAGCAGGACACAGCTATCATGCGTGAACCAGCGACACCTAAAGGGAAGCCTAAACAAAGGCATGCTTCCAGCTGGCCCGATGGAACCGTGTCATGTGTTCAATGTCTTAAATGATGGTTTGTCTCAAACTGGGAATCGGACCGCCCACGATGGGCTTCGGTGTCCTTTTGGCTTCCCAAAGGAGACACACCCAACTCACTTCCGCGGATTACCCCCCGAAAGAAAAAAACAGAAAACATTCATGGTTGCCACTTTTAGTGGCACCAAATCCCAAGAAGTAGTCATCAATCACTTGGGTGTTCGGCAAAGCTAGTAGGTGGTTAGTAACCATGGCTCTATCCCACTTGCGGCCCAATTCCCTCATAAGAAGGTGATATCCCAGGTAGCTGACCACTAACTTGGCCGAACATCAGGGATCCTTACATTATACACCTGAACATTGCCTCGTAAATGGTGGTTTCCCTTTCCTTTGATGAACAAAGCCCCCATGTTTCACATGGCGGCAACATGGAGATCTTTTCAGGAGCCCTGTTTATCGGGGGACCCTTTTTAAAGGGTACCACTGGGCAGCTGGGTTCCTCTTGGCGCAAGCGGCAGTAGTGGCCGCTGCCCTGCGCGAGGTCCAAGGTGTCGGTGACCTGAGGGGCCGGCGGAACCCGACACGGGAGACGGGTTCAAAGGCCATGAGCCGAATGCCCGGGGGGCAAAATAGACGTGTCCACCATACGGGGGGGGGGGTGAGACTTTTGTTTGGGGTGGCAACAAATTAGAGGGGATAGTTTTCTTGGGACAAACGGGCCGGTGTTGGGGCAGTGACACTGGCGCCGCCTTTGTGGATACCTTTCCATTCTTCTGGTGCGACGTTCCCCATTCTTTCCAGGGATCCTTCTTTTCCGGAAACCATCAATAACCCAGGGAAACCGCTGTTTCTAGAAAGAACGATGGTTAAAAAAAATGGGGAAGCAACCCCAAGAAAAATAGACCCGTGTCCACCATGCGGGGAGAAAACGGGCGGGGCGGGGGGAAGGGGGGGGGAAAAGGGGGGTGGGGGAGACCTTTTTCTTTTTTGAGACATCAGACTGGGTGGTCAAATTGTAAAGCATCCAACCTGAGCAAGACTATAATCACCACTGCAAATAGGCAATCCACAAGTAAAGCACCTTCGTGCGTAAGCCCAGGACAGGTTTTGGAATCTTTCTGGGGTGGGGCCTAATGTCCTTCCATCATATTCTTCCAGTTGCTTAAGCCCCCGGGAAAAAAGACAGATACATATTTCCAGTGATAGATTCCCTCTAAAAACCAGCGGAAAATCAAACAAATCCAAAACGCAACCTCCTCCAACCTCATCCAACCTCATCCAACCCAACCTCATCCAACCGGCATAAGCAAATGGATGTATTGCAAAACCCAACCTCACCGGCAAGCCCTCCAGTGCGGGATCCCCTTCGCGCAAGCAAGGCGTACGCCTTGCACCCCCCTTTGGTCGCGACCGGCTTTGGAAATGTGACACATGTGAATGCATGAACATAAAGTGGCGAGTATGTATATGCATATATATATATATATACAAATAGTATAAATAGTATATATGTTTCTTGTTTTTTAAATGTCATTTTTATATCTTTATGGGTGTGTCCCAAAAGGAAGCAACGCCGTGTTTTGAGGGTCCCCTACTTTCCACCTGGAATCAAAGATTCCCGAAACAAAGACAAGTGGTGGCCGAAGAGGGCGAATAAAGGCACCTGGAATAAAGACCCCCCCCAAACCTCAAAAAGCATTCAAGAAACAAGAGCAGAGAGAAAACGACAAAAGAGAAAGAAAAGCAGCCTGGAAGATCCTGGTGAAGCTTCAGGCTTTGTTGATAGACTTTGGCCTGCCCCAAGGCCCAAAATTCAGCTTCCCAAACTCATGTGTTCTTGCATCTATCTTGCTAAAAGAAAAAAACAACTGCCCACAATCAACACGACAAAGGCGGTAGTGCTTGAGGTCCCCAAAATTTGAGGACTATACTTTATTTTTGGGAACATATTACTCTACTGCGACAAAGTGTTGTTGCCTAGCCCCCTGAAAAGTAATCAAACGAAAACTCCAATACAGAACTAATTGAGATGGACCTCAAGATATTCTAGGCAATATGTGGGGGGGGGGGGCTTTGCTAATCTTAGCACCCATTTTGAGCCACACCCCCAATACACACGCATGTGATTCAATGGCTGGCCCTTGCTTCGTCTGGAGGAACCGGTAGGCTCAGCGGGAAGCAACCGGATGGGCAAGCTAAACGAAGAAAAAAGAAACGTGGACGTGGTCCCAACTGGACAACACCGTTTTACTTGGAAGACCACCCAAATGCCAAATGATTGGGTTCTTTGTTTAAACCAACGCAACAAAAAGCAAGCAACCTCAACTTAACTTTGTCAAAAGCACAAACACACAAACACACAAACACACGCCACACCACACAACACAACACAACACACACACACACACATTGTCAACCCCTTGCCTGTATGTCAGTCTTTGACTCGAGCCATAAGCACCTGGCAATGACCTGATCTCGCTCCTCCTTGACATCCTTGCTCTCCTCGTCCTGAGTCGATTTTCAACGGAGCCATATGGTGGTCCAAATGACCATGGGCAACTTTTCCCACTTAGAGGGAAATATGGGTATGGGTCAAAATTAACCCACCAGGGGACCACAGGTTTTAGTCATCGTTTCCATTTGCCGTGCCATTTTGGGGTTACCCTAGTTTTTGCCCACAGCCATATCATCCTTTTAGTGGGTCTCCCCAATGGTCATCCCATGCCAAGTCCAAGGATCTTTCGATCAACGGAGCTCTCCAAATCGTCGCTCCAAAAAGCGGCCATACAGCTACAATGCCGTAAAAAAAGAAAGAAAAGAAGAGTAGTGTACACCTCATGAGTCCGAAACGCCCCTTATGAAGTTGCTCTTGTTTGAAAGGCAAAACTCTCGGGCGGGAATTCTGACAAGATCGCAAGTGGGACCAGGACTCGCAAAAAGGACAAGCCAACTCCAAAACTTTCGAGCCCACAAGCATAATGCTTGAGCTGTGCAAACGCGGCACAGATAGTGGCAATCCGCTTTTGACGTGACAACGTGCTTACTAAAAAAGAGAAAAGCTTTTGGAGCTAAAAACCATTGTGCAAAAAAGAACATCACTAGAAAGCGGGGGTCCGGGGTCTTCCTTCTCGGACACATCCTGGTTTTTGACACCTCAGATGCACCGCCCAATGTTGTTTTTGGCTGAATGCGTCTGATGCTGCTGGGTGAAAAAGGGCTCCACCTTCCTCCCTGGGGAGCACTTCGGGAAAAAATGTTGAAAACAGTCCCCCTCAAGTAACCTTACTGCTGCTTTGGCAATCCTGAGGAACCAGCAAACCAACCGGACAAGAGTACTCAGAAAAGGGTACCCTCAAGGGCTCAGTTGCCCGCGATCATGTGACCAAATTGTCGCGACACATGCATATGCATTCCTCCAGCATTGCAACACGCATGTACAAAGATATGCACAAATGTATGTGCTCATGTCAATGTGTAGACTTACCTACAGATGAGCCTCTATAATATATGTGTGTAAATGACAAGCAGTACATGTGTCACTTGATACACATGACAAGCTTTGCTTACATGCATGATGTGCGTATCAAATGTTCAACAGATCCTCCGCTGCTGACCCGCCTGCAAATCCCCGCGGCGAGCATGGATTCCTCAGTCAGCTGTTGCTTGTTCAAGACAGGTTGCTGACCAGGTCGATGTACGGCACATGCAAACAGGCTTATAGCCCGTCGAAATTTAATAACAAGATTGACTATGATGTCAACTTTTGACTCATCCGGAGACCACACCAATCAGCGCTAGCTCGCCTTTCTAGTCGGGAACTGATTCATTTCGCACGGATTCCTCTGATAGATATGATCCTTCGGACTGATCGGAAGTCAACATACAACTGCTGCGGAAGACATGTGAACAGCCTGCATTTGAGTCATAATCAAAACCTGGTATTGACATGGTCTACCCAGCACCATACAAATAATTAAGAAGGCGGATATCCGCAACAAATTCTGGCTGACTTCCCCTTACTAACCTTCATCTAACCGAGTTTTGATTATGGCTGCATTTCGAGTCGCTGGCGGCGTTTTTGCAACACGCCAAGGCCCGGGCGATAGAAGTGCAGATTCCCAGGCAGCAGGCCGCCCTTGGCAATCGGCCTGGGCATCGGCTACGCTTTGCAGGTTGCCTGCCTGAGGAAAGTTTTTGCAGGGACCCTGAGAAGTGTAGAATTTCGAGCTTTTGGACAAAACAAATTGGCATTGGCCAATGGAAACTCATGGTCATTACCACCCGAACCCCTCGATTTCTCTCGCCAAACTCACCGATCAAAAGCACACCTATGCTAGAATCCCTTTCGTAAGTCTCTTTGCTTCCCATCCCCCTAGACATGGTGTGACCCTGGGGAAAACCAGGGCACTCTTCATACGGAAGTCGAGCTTAGTTTGGGAACCCTCCCAAAGGGCGCCAAAAAGGGGAATTGAAGCTCTGAAAGCAAAAGATAACACAACATTTATGTGTTTTTGTTTCGGGTCGCTCAAGGGAAACCGCGCCTGCGGGGTTCCACTTGTTTGACACAAATCTGATCATTGCCTTCCAGGACAACTAGAACCACGTCGTGATAATAGAAAGGACGTCGCGGACGTCGCGGCCTTGCGCCCGCTGTATTCAGCAGTCAAGCAGAAGGAGCAGAATGCAAAGCACCGACAGCGCTTTGTAACTTCAAGGGTCTGTTGACTACGGCGCATATCAACATCACAAAACCAAAGTCGACCACGACCACAGGGTGACAAAAAGTAGGTACTAATCAGAAGCCATGTCTCAGTGCCACAGCGCAAAAACCAACCGGTGGCAAACAGACGGCCAGGGCACTGACATATGTTTTTAAGACATTGTACGACTTATATACGAAATAAGTGAAGGAAGCCAGCATCGCAACGGCTCACGTCGCCAACTGAAAAAGACACGAGCTCTGAATTCAGAGTTCCAAAAATATAAGTTGGCCTGGCTCTTTGAAACATCCATGAACACGCTGGAAGCATCAGCAATTGGGCTGTGACTCCAATTGGGCGTTTCAAGCGCGCAGGTCCGAAGGTCCGCGCTAAGGACTGGGCATGTAGAACTCGGGCAACATGTCTGGCGAGGACTCCTGGCTGAGCATTGCAGGTCCTTCAAAAACTGGGCTGCCCTCAGATGCCCTGCTGAAAGCTTAACTTTTAGTGGGTTAAATGGACACCACCACTAAACACTAAAAGGCTAAAACGCTCAGCAAGCAAGAAAATAGGTCCAGGTTCGACTTTCCTCGTTGTTTGGTGCTTTGGAGCCCGGTGGTTTGGTGGTTGAGGGCTGGTCTTCCATTTACCCTCTACAAGAACCAGGAACCCGTTCACATCCCCAAACCACCAATCGAAACCGCCAATTAGAGGGAAGTGAAAAGTACAAGTGCATTACATGGGTACAAATACACTTCAATATGCACTCATCTGGACCTGTCTATGTCCTAATATGGTGTCACCTTCCGGACACCAACAACTGTTTGCGTCACTGTGCTTTGTATATTGATGTGGTGTCATCTTGGACAACACACTGCCGACGTCACACCATTGCTCCCTCTTCTCCGCATCGTGTCGCAAGATGAAGTCTGCTTGAGATATTGTGTCAACCAAATAGTGTGGACGAACTAAATCCGTCTCGCACCACCTAAGAAACCCTGGAATGCTTCGATTCCCCAGTATATAAATCCAACAAACGTGTGTTTTGGTTTCAACCATTTCGTGTTGCGAAATGGATTTTGCAACAATCCACAGTAGGAAGCAAGAATGGGAACAATGGAAAACACGGAGATCACCATTTGTAGACCCTCACCAAACGAGTGGATTGGGCGAAGCAGTAACAAAACTTGTTGTTTACAACTAAATTGGTTCAATCCCAAAAACTTCAACATCCAGAACAACGAGCGGGAGTGAATACCAGGGTTTTGCCCTTGCTTGCAATGTTTGTGTAAATCCACCGTGGCTACTTGAGATGGTCTTCCCTTTCTGCACCTCAAGAATCGCCCCTAGAAAAAGAAAAAAAACGACAACTCGTGCTAAAATTGGCGCACGGGACGATGCCAAACTTTCAGCAAGACTGGGTTTGGTCTCGATGTTCCTCTGGCTTCCTTTTGGGCGGGGCACAGGCCGGGCGCACCATGGGCTGTCCCTTGTCTGCGAAAAGCCGAGCGCGCTCTTCGCGGGTGAAAGTCAGAAACTCCCACTAAGCCAACTGAAAAGAAGCCCGAAGCCCGAAGCAAACGGATGGGAAGGAACCACCAAGGAGTCCGACGGTCTGCTGTCTCACTTGACTCCTTGGGTGCAAAATCTACTTGACCAGTGCCTGTTAGGCATAGCACTCAGCTTCACCCATGCAGCAGGAGTTATTCCTCTTGGCTTCCCTGCAATTAAAGCTAACCAAAACAGTGCTTCCCTTAAAAAATGACCCAAATCCCGATTCAGACTGATCTTGATTCGCAAACATTGCTCATAAGTTGCAATCAAAGAACTCATGCCTCTCTCCGCAGCCGCGTTTAAAAACTACAAAGAGGCAAAGCATCCGCGCGACTTCTGCCATGTTTTGGTGAGGAACACCTCCGCCGATCAGCCGCCGCCTTTCAACTGGGCAGTTGGGGCGCCTTCAGCTCCTTGGCCCGTCGCGCCAAGCGCCGCTCGCTGAGCCGCTGTACCGCTTGCCGAGCCGAGTCACCGAGCCGAGCCGCACTATCCCGCCGAGCAGAGCCTGGAGGTGCTGCAGGGCTGCAGTTTGTTCGCCGCCTTGGCACTGGGCCGCCTGCTTCACCGACCGGCCAACAAAAAATCCCTAGGGAGTCATCTCAAAAACTGGTCGGGGCAAATTGTCCTTCTAAAACAAGAAATGCGGGATATATGTTAGGACCTTCACGGGTGACCCCATTTTAGCCCCATGCCATACCTCGGTTGCGAAATCTGCTCCCCTGCTAAAAGTGACTAATACTAACTTTTCGTGGTTCAATGGAAAACCCACTAGTTGGCAAAAAGTTAGAGTCCTAACATCCAAATTGATAAATTTCCGCATTGACGCATCTCACGGATTTCCAGCCCACGGAGTCCTCTTCGGTGGCCGTCCTGGCATGATTCAGGGAGGGAGGGGGCCCTATGTCAAGGGATGGTGCACAGCACCTTTCTAGGGGTAACTTCCCCATTCTTTCCAGGGATCCTTCTTTCTAGAAAGCCAAAAAAAAACCTGGGGCAATGGCTGGTTTTTGAAAAGAACGATGGCTGAAAAGAATGGGGAATCAAGCCCTAGAACGGTGCAAACAACACTCAAATCCGGGGATTGGCCCAAAAAGTCCTACTCAACGCCTTTTTCAGGAAACAGTGAACTTCCCACCCCCCCCTCAAGAGGAGGGGGAGTGGGGGTCTGCCAAGTCCATGTTTCCAGTCTTCCCCTCAGAAGGGAAAATGGAACCAGAAGTGGAATTCCAAGGTCACCCTCGTCCCCCAATTACATTTCTGCCTCACCGCTAAAAGTGACTAAGGGTTAAATGGAAACTACCACACTAAACACTAAAAGGCTAAAAAGAGAAGGGGATGGCTGGCTCCAGCACCAAGATTTTAGAGGGGGTGGGGATGTCTTCCCACGAAGCTGTTCAAGTCCTGGATCGGCAGCGAGAAGCAATTGTGTTTTTTTTTGTTTTTTTTTTCCCGTGAAGGCTTCAAATTGACAAGCAATGCCGCCGTTTAGACTCAGAGGTCCAGTGTTTGCTAAAATCTGCCAAGCTTCTTGTCCCATCCTTTACATGCTGCCGGATATGGGTGTGGGTTAAACTTAAATCACCAGGGCACCGCAGTCCGTTCCATTTGCCAGTGTTCCACTACCTTTTGTCGACCCACAGTTATATGGGAGCATCTAAAATTGAGGGCACCCCCCCCTTTATGGCTTCGCCTTGAAAGAAGCCGGACACGCCTGAGAGAGACCGGAGACCGGTGCCCTCGTGACCCGAAATCAAAACAGAAATAGCCCATTTGAGTTTCAAACAAAACCGATCGGAATTGAAATGGTGGATCGGGACCCAGAACCATGCTTCAAGAAGTACCAAGGCGGAGATCCGCACCCATTTATGCCGGCATTGGCCATACCCTCCAATTACCCGGGTTTTGATGGTGACTCATTTGCCGAAGAAGCCACATGTTTCAAGGTTTCGACTCCTGCGACAGCACAGCATAATTCTGGATGGTCACCGTCAAAATGTTCCCCCTCCACCCGAATTACGCCGCACGCAGCACAACTTCCATTTGGTTAAGACCCCTGGAAAAAAAATATATATATATATAAACAATATTTCCAGTAGTGATGAATTCCTTTTAAGACCAACAAGAACAACAAAAATGGAGGAGCACTCTGCACGTGCCGGGCAGGCATCGTCATTGTCGCGGACTGGTCTGTCCTTGGCACTCGACCGCGCTCATTTGCATTCGGTGGATCATTCCCTGCAGGTCTTGCTGTTGACCCAAAAGCTTCTAATTATTGTGGGGGGGGTTAGTGGAAAACCCCTTGATTTCGCAAAAGGTTAAAGTCTAACAAAACCCCAAGTACTGGCCAAGAAGCAGTCATTGGGGGCTCTAGTCATTTCTTGTGCTGTCTTAACTTGTAACATTTTGCGAATCCATCAAAGTGAGGGGCTGGCCAAAATCAAATCTTGCGGGTGCACGTGCTGAGCTAAGTGCAGCTTGGACTTAGACGTATACTTGCTCCAGATGCAAAGATCCGGCAAACAGCACAGATCAAGAAAACAACCAAAACAAACATGTACTTATGTGCTCCCCTAGGAGAATGAAGCCCTTTCAAAACACGGAACTGTCTCATGAATCATCGGAGTGCTTGCTCAGTCAACACGCGTCATAGACAAACGGAAACATTCAACCAAACACGCCTCGAAAAAACCAACCGCACGTGCTACGTGTGTTTGCTGATGCACACTTGCCATGCTAACTTGACGATTGACCAGTTTGCACCCGACAACCTGCTGAACTCAAGTATGCATGTTGCAAACGCACCATTCTAGCTGTAACCTCCCCCACTTGGCCAGCGACCAGCCAAAAAAAAGCGTAGACTGGTTGGGCCACCCTAGTAACAAGGGAGAGCCACCAAGGAAACGAGTGCAAAGTGTGTGCACTGGCTGGGTGAGTCCCAGCTCTTTAACCGACTTTGCGCCTGGTGAGTTGAAGGCGAAAGAAAATCGATCTATCACTAGGTCCTCCAGTAGAGAGGCTGGAACAAGGTTACCCTTTCTCCTGTAGTCTATTTTAGTGGGGGAACCACCCCAACCAAAAAAGAAACGGTAAAAGGGCACCTAGCTGTGGGACCTGGACTATATAGATTCACAAGCAGCAAAGCTGGGCTGCCCGTTTCCCGATCCCCCGCTAAAAGTGATAACTTCTTGTGGGTTAAATAAAAACCACCACTAAACACTAGAAGGCTAAAAGCAAAGGAACCGGATGGCTGGGTGCCACCAAGCAAGTAGTTCTTCACGTATCCTCTCGCTGGGGCCGGAAGCTTTGTGCCTGCAACAGCTCCTTTTTGTCCCTGCTACAAACAAGTTCATGTTGTTTGAGGGTACCCTTTTTACCTGGTTGAAAGGGGAACTAGGAGGAACTCTACGTGGATGACATAGCCACTTCAAAGGGGATTTCGCTACAACTGTCTTTCCATGTGGGAGCCTCGAAATTGTGGTTTTTCCGCGGGTGTCCTTGTGTTCCCTTTATACGGATAGCCTCAAAAACACACACACCCATATGCTTCTACCAAGCAGCGGAAGGGGATGTGTTTGAAAAACAGTTTGGGAAGGGTGTTGGTCTCTTTGATTCTTCAACACCACTCAAAACAAGCCCAAAAGGGTACCTTCAAACAGAAAAACATACACCCACATGCGGGTTTCCAAAACCGGGCACCCACACTTGCATGGCGGCTCCAATACTGTAAGACTATCTAGGGACCATAATTTAACCAAGGGACCCTACACTTGGATGGTGTTGAATTGAACAACTATCTAATTCTTGCTGGTTCGATAGGCAGGGAATGAGCAAGGGAATGACCCCAATGGGAATCCCCTTCCGGCCC